GGGTGATTTGCCCTAAAACTGCATTCTCCAAGAGCTGACATAGTTCAGTGTTTGCTTTGTTCTTAGGGTGGGGGATTACCCCAACTCTGTACCTGGTCTGAGGGAGATCAGAGAATCTGGCCCAAAAGGACAGGATGGTGGGGCACCCCACAGAACGAGAAGGTGAGGGTCAGTGGCATAATCAGCACAACAGGGATGAGCCTCAAAGGGTCATCTGTGAGCACACTTCATCAAAAGTCACATCTGTGAAATCTTTAGATCAGTGTTTCTCAGCCTTTTTTTATAAAGTACCCCTTGAAAAAAATTATAAGTACCCCCAGACCCTTGCTCTAACCCAATGAACCCACCCCTCCCCCAGAGCCAGGAACTCCCAGCCCCACTGCTCTAATCTAATGAAGCCACCCCGCTCTAACTCAATGCCCTCCCGTTCTAGCAGAGCCAGGCATCCCCAGTCTGCTCGCTCTAACCCAATGCCCCTCTCCTCCCCCAGAGCCAGGCACCAGTCATATGGTAACCCTACTTTTGAAGTGCCTGCTCCCGCCACTCGGCCCTGCTGTGGTGGCTCGTCTGCAGGGAACAGGTGGCCCACCTGCACTAGGATTGCTGCGTGGGGCTGTGAGCTCTCTCCTCAGCTGGGCACCCCTCTAGTGTGGCGCCCGGGGGCAATTGCCCCCCCTCGCTACACCACTGATGTGGGGATGTCCTTTGGAGCAAAGTTTATTGTGCCACTTCACCTCCTGATTACCCATCGCAGGCTCCTTTTTCAGCAAGTCCTAAACTTACTTCCCTAGAATCCTTGTGCTGCTCCACATCCCAGTTTTCCCTCCAAACTTCTTTATCCTAATTTCTTCCCTCAGCCAGTCCCAGTTTCTTCCCCTGGCTCAATCTCCTTGATCAGCTAGTATTAGTTTCCCTTGCCCCCACCACCCACTACTCTCCTCAGCCTCTGTTCCTCAGTCTCCTTGTCTTAATGTAAGGGGAATAGTCATATTGCAGGGCAATGGACAGCCTTTAAGTTGATCGGTTCACACTCACCACACAGCACCATCCTTACTCATTTGCAGAATATGTTGCTGCAATAGAGTTTGTGAAAGATTGGAGCACCACTGGGTCTTCATGTCCACCCAGATGCTCTTCCTATCCCTGGTCTGTGACTCTGTTTCCTCCAGAGAGGATTAATTAACTTAAAACTGAAAAAGCTTGCCAGGCCTATTAGCATAACATCGAACCTGTGGAGCAGCCATTCACGTGGTAATTAAGCCATTTGGAGCACCCAGGTATTTACTGTCTGTGTTTGAGTTTACGGTGTTTACACAGGACATTAGTTTAAAATTTGCTTCAAAGCTATTTCGTTAGTGTGTTGATGAAGCTTATAAAATCACAGCGCTAACAAATCGTCACCCCTCCCCCACTGGGCTGTCGCTGGGCATAAGGGCACAGTTACATAGTATTGCATAGGACCCCATAAATCCTTGGGATGTCTCGGACATCATAACTCAACAGGCTTCGGAGACCATGTTGCTCGTAGGATTTATGTTACAATTTGGAAAGCAGCAATCTTGATTCTTATTCAGGCCTGTATGGTGGTGTCACCAAGTTGCAGAAGCAGTGTTTACATAGAAGGTTACATCTTCTCAATGCTGTATTATGCCTTCTTTTGTTCTGTCTTCTGGTTTTCATCTTCTCTTTTCCAGCCGGCAAACAAATTGGCAGTTCCAATCAGAGAGATTGTATACATTTGTTTCCCCTCATTCATGGGCTTGACAGTGTCAAGTGTCAATATCAGCTGCTCTCACCCCTTCACTGACTCAACACCTCTCCTTATGAGAGGTCCTTGGTTCTTTCTTTACCTGATGAGTAAGTAGTCTGTTAACACATACACAGTAGGAGGGTAACTGCCTTTGTCCTTGTGGCTGGAAATTCTAAGCCTGTCTTTATTGTATAGAAGCTTCAGGGGGGTAGCCGAGTTAGTCTGTAACAGGAAAAACTTAAAAAACAACAAATAGCCTAGTAGCATCATAAAAATTACCAAACTGACCTAACATAATGAATGCTAGTGGAAATGGGGTAGGTTTAGAAATTAAAATAGGAAGAAGACAAGTTAAAAATTACTTAGAAAAGTTAAAAAAAAAAAAAACAAATGGCCTGGTCCAACTTAACACTACCAACTTAACAGCTATTGAAGGTGCAAACAGCTCTTTGTGTAGTCTCCCATGTCAGGAAGGATACTATCTATTGACTTTGATTCTTATCTGCTTCGTTTTAACTACCCAATTTTCAGATACTTACTGATTCCCTCTAGCACTTTGTCTGACACCCTGCCTTCCTTTTTTTTCCCCGTCCCACACCCTTTCCCCTCTCCTATTTATTTTGGGTGTGCACATCCTAAACTCATAACTCCGATCATCTGAAGAAGTGGGCTGTGCCCATGAAAGCTCATGATACCATCTACATGTTTTGTTAGTCTAAAGTCCTACCAGACCATTTGTTGCTTTTTCTGTAACAGACTACCTCAGCTACCCCCGAAGCATTAGAAAAGTTAGATAGCTTCAAGTCACCAGGGCCTGATGAAATTAATCCTAGAATACTCAAGGAGCTGATTGAGGACATATCTGAGCCAATAGCTATCATCTTTGAAAAATCATGGAAGATGAGATAGAGTCCAGAAGATTATAAAGATAACCCAGATTATAAAATTATAGGGATTATAAGGATAACCCAGGAAGCTATAGTTTAGTGATCTTTACAGGAAAGATAATGGAGCAAATACTCCCCCCCCCCCCCCCCCCGCCCCTTATTTATTCTTGAATCTGGACTTCTAATACTCCACTCATCTGAAGAAGTGCATTGTGCCCACGAAAGCTCATGATACCATCTATATGTTCTGTTAGTCTGTTAAGGTGCTATTAGGCTATGTGTTGTTTTTTAAGTTTTTATTGTATAGAGTTTAACTCACATTAATTTAGTTTATTTTCTGAAATATCCTTTTAGACCCACCAGTGTTTGAATAGGAGATAGGCCTACTTCAAGATAGGCCTTGCAAAAAAACCAACAGGACACCAGTTGTCATCACCTACAGCCCCCAACTTACACCTCTCCAACATGTTATCAACAATCTACAACCTAGCCTTGAAAATGACCCCTCACTCTCACAAGCTTTGGGGAACAGACCAATCCTCACCTACAGACAACCCCCTAACCTCAAACAAATTATTTCCAATAACCACGCAGCACACCTCCATCATACTCATCCAGGGACCCACCCCTGCAATCCACTTGGGTGTCAACTCTGTCCATACATCTATACCAGCAATATCATCATAGGACCTAACCACATAAACCACCACATCAGAGGCTCATACAACTGCTCACCCACTAATGTGATCTATGCCACCAAGTGCCAGCAATGACCCTCTGCCATGTATATTGGCCAAAGTGGACAGTATCTACGAGAAAGAATTAATGAACACAAATCAGATATCCGATTTTAACTTTCCTGGGATCTCATTAATGGATCTCAAAGTCTCCATTATATTTCAAACCAATTTCAAAAACCAGCTGATCTGGGAAACTCAGAACTTAATTTTGTTTACAAGATTGATTCCTACAACAGAAGTCTCAACAAAAAAACATTGGCTGGATGGCCTGTTACATTCCACATCCTAATGACATTAAAAAAACAAACAAAGGGTACTTAAATGGAGTACTAAGTATTCTTATCAGCTTAATTTAGCATGGTCACTCTAACTGACAATTTCTTTCACCTTTTTTTTCTTCTTTTTCCTCCTCTTTTCCTCCTCCCCTTCCCGCCCCCCATCCCGTCTGTGCTATTTATTTGAAAACTGAACAGAGGACCTCTTAAACTCCATTCTTATGAAGAAGTAGGTTGTGCCTAAGAAAGCTCATGATATCGTCTACATTTTTTGTTAGTCTATAAGGTACTTCAAGACTACTTTGTCTGTAAATGGAAAAACTTTAAAAAACAACAATCACAGCTACCCCTCTGAAACTTTTGCCTAGGAGATGAAATTCTGATTGTTTCCAATGTGCCCAATCACTTCTACTTTCTATATAAAAGTCTTTATATAAAAGCTTTAAAGTAGTCTTGCTAAACTTATGTGATTCTTAAAGACAGTCTTTCATTTAAATAATTCTCAAAGAAAGCAGGTTCTCTTCTTAACAGTTCTTGAAGTAGTGGATTTTGGTCTTTAATGGTTTTATTAAGAAAGTTGCCCAAACACTGCCAGATACCCAATTAATTCCCTAATTAATATAAAGATTTTGTATTCCAATAGCTTTTAGTGGTAATAACCAGTTATAGAAAGGTAATTTGATTTCATATTGGTATACAAAACTTCCCACTATCCACACAACAATGACATCAGGAAAATATCTCTTGATTGTCTGCCTTTTAATCAATCAAACAAGTCTCAAGATCACAATAGACTATTGTTTCATCCACAATTCACAATTGAAACTTTTATCAAAAACACTGTACAAAAGCAGAAATCACAATAATATTCCAGTATTTCATTCTAACATCACCTAAACAAACATTATATACAATTACAACACAATTGGGAAGCAGTTTTATAATTTTCGGAGTCTGCTACGGGACATGCAAATGATAAGCACACATTTGTTGGCATGGAAGAGGTGTGCTCTTCAAGAGCTCCCTGCCTCTCAGTCTAAGAAAACAGAGACTTCCTAGAAATTAATGTAGTTAGCCTCAAAACATTATTTAATAAAATAAACAACTAAACATAAGGTATTATTCTCCCAGCATCAAGTATATAAAAATAATTATACACTTTTTAAACTCAGTTAAGGCAAAGGATTCTAATGGCCTAAATTATAATATACAAATAACCATTATTGCATCAATATTGAGCTTTATCCCCAACAGAGGTGGCTAGGAGGGGAAGGAGATTGGGCTGGTGGTAGAGACAGGCAGAGGATGATAGCAATGAAAGCCATAATAATCAGCTACTGTTCCTCACCTTGGTTGGCAGAAAGATGTCTTTGTCCTTGTGGCTGAGATGGGAATCCTGTCCTCCAGATGCAATACTGTCCCTCACAAATTAGAAACAGACATGCTTTTTAAGTTTGAACTGCAGCCATGAAGTAGCTACTTTCCAATACGATTTGAATATGAATTGTGAGATATACTTCCAGTGGAGAGCATGAGGCATTAGATAGATTCCTTCCTTTAACCATAATCGCATGACTCATTCCTCTCACCAGGCAAAAAATGTACCCCTGCAGTTCTGTATTATGGCTGTTGACTGAATGAGGCTTTGTATAATAAGATTTAAATTGTAATGAGTCATTATGTCAAACTTTTTTGCTGGTATTTTGCATACTAAGAATTCTGCACAGTGCACAGTATGCTAACTGCACAAAATCCTAGCAAATGCACTAACATGTCAATGGAGAGATATGCAGACCATGATGAAAAATCCTGGCAAACGTTGACATAATGATAGCTCCAAAAGACACAGAGATTACATTCCTGGAGCCTGCATCTTACCAGCCCTGTCCAGGGTATAGCTCCTTTAGCCATCATTTAGGTATGATCGTTACTTGCCTTTACCGGGACAAGAAATACTTTGTTTCCCATACCTAAGGGTGGGTTGTTGGTGTTTTATTAGGAGAGGGCCGATTTTTTTAAACACAGTTGGTTTTAAGAATTCTTTATCAACTCACTACTGAAATTAGTTACCTTAATGATTATCTATTTCTTGCACTTCTCTTATTGAGAACCACTCATCAGTGCTGCAATGCCATTGATTTTCTTTTCTTTTTCGAAGCAATCACAACATTGAAGAGTTTATTTTAGAAAGAACACCACAGAGTCGCACAGCCTGTGCAACCAGATTAAAGCGGAAAAGGAAGTGGCCAGCCCAAATTTATTTGCCTTTTTTAAATTGAAGCAGAAATTATTTCAGGCCTCAAACTCCCCAGAACTTGCTAAATTATTCTTTTCACCTGCTTGTGTGGTGTACATGTGTGGCAATGCCTCTCTCAAGTGGGGAAGCATTACAGCATCATAGCTAATACGGAACTATAATTTTAACCCATGTAAAGCACATCTCTTTTTCAAAATCTGAAGTAAAAATAAAGAAACAAAAGCCACATTTTATGGAACTAAAAAAACTGGATAAACACCTGTGCTTTGGGGTGATTATCAAACTGAACCTGAACTTGGTGATACACAGATGTTGATGATCAACAGAAGCATCCCTAGTCCTTTCTCGGGAGCCAGGACACCTACATGAGGGTTTTTTTAACTAAGGAATGAATAAAAATCGTGAGAGTGGTAATTTAGTTTATATGCTAATTGGAATCCAGATTCCTCTCTCTTGTACTCAAATGGTTCCTCTGCTCATACAAAAGAGTCCAGCCACCAGGACTTTCTGGCATTTACTTTTAAATGCAAATTAACGTATTCATTTCTTAGGAGTTGCACTAGTTGCCTAGTAGTGGAATGCAGCACAAAGAACAGACTGAATATACTAATTTCAGTATTGTGTATTAGAAAAATACTCATTTAACACTGCCTGAAAAGCCTTCATCAGCTTTTGTGTGTGTGTGTGATTTTCTAGGTGTCAATAATAGATGAATTCCTAGCTCCAGTTGGTCATTTAACAGTGAAATATTTTGTACCAAGTTTTCATATGGCTGCCCACATCTGTGCACTTACCCAGCTACATAATTTCCTGAGACAAGAGAAGTAAGTCTTCTGTTCTGCTCCATGCCCTAAAGCAGTGGTCCCCAATGCGGTGCCCGTGGGCGCCATGGCGCCCGCCGGGGCATCCCGCCGACAACCTGGGCTGCCCCCGCCCATGGCGCACGGGAGACGCCGGCCCCAGGCGATTGACATGCACCGGCGCCGGGTGCGCAGCGCTCAGGCAGCCCCAGCCCCGGGGCATATGTGGGCGCTCGGGCGCGCGGCGCTTGAGCAGCGCCGGT